GCATATCCTCGAGTGTCTGAATAGTCCTCTCTGACTGACCGTCCGTCTCCGGATGGAGGCTGAACTGAACTCAAGCTTGGTGCCCATCGCCTAATGTAAGCTGTGCCAGAATCGGCTGACGAATCTGGGATCTCTGTCTGATACAATTGTGACGGGCACTCCGTGGAGTCGGATGATCCCACGGGTATATATCTCAGCCAACTTGTCCAGAGACATCCTCATCGAAACAGGGAAGAAATGTGCCACCTTCGTCAGTCTGTCGACCACGACCCAAATAGCGTCGTGATGTTCAGCCGTCCTCGGCAATCCCGTAACGAAATCCATAGTAACTTCCTCCCACTTCCACCTCGGAATCGGCAGTGGCTGTAGGAGGCCAATTGGACTCTGATGCTCGGCCTTGACTTGCTGACAGGTAAGACACCGCCTAACGAACTCGGCGACATCCTTCTTCATGCCTTTCCACCAAAACGACCCCTTCAGGTCGTGATACATCTTCGTGCTCCCGGGGTGGCCAAGTAAGGTGCGGTATGTGCCTCTGATAGAATCTCCTTCCGCAATGCCTCGGCCTTCGGGACCACGATCCTGCCTCTGAACTCCCAGGCACCATCGGCGCCTATCTGAAAATCCTGCACTCCTCCGGCGCGAACCTTAGCCTCCATGACACGAACAAATTCGTCAGAAGCCTGCTCTCGTCGGATTCTCTATCTCAGTGTCGGCTGAAGCTGCATAGCACTGACACTGGCACTAGTGCTCCCCGAGTCAGCTGTGGGGAGTGCATCAATCGCCTGAAGTTGCATCCGGGCAAATCATGAATCAATGGACTCTACTGCGTAATGATGTACGTCGAGTCACCCTTTACCTTTCAGCTTAGGGCATCTGTGACGACGTTCGCCTTCCCCGGATGGTACTGAATAGAACAATCAAAATCCTTGACCAATTCGAGCCAACGACGCTGCATCATATTAAGCTCCTTCTGTGTGAAGATGTACTGTAGGCTCTTATGGTTAGTGAATATCTCGCAGCGTCCGCCGTAAAGATAATGACACCAGATCTTCAGGGCGTGAACGACTGCGGCTAACTCTAAGTCGTGCGTAGGATAGTTCTGCTCATGAGGCTTAAGTTGACGTGAAGCATACGCAACGACCCGTCCGTCCTGCATTAGGACACATCCCAAGCCCTGCCTCGAAGCATCGCTATAGATAGTGAAACTCCGAGAAGGATCTGGGATAGTCAACACTGGTGCTGAAGTTACCCTCTTCTTGAGCTCTTCGGAAACAATAAAACTTGAATGTACAAGCTTAGCTTAAAGCTTATACTTACTGATTGCATGACTTGAGAATCCAGTAATTTAGTACTGAATAAAAGACTTGATCTGAACTGAAGATACATCAATTCACAATTAAGTGAATTGTAGAATACGGCTGACTGAAAATGGACACTTTTCTGAAAGAAAGTGTTCCACTGATAAGACATGATCTCAAAACGAAACTTGAAATATGTTGGTCGTCCTCTCCTGGCTGCTAGCGGATCTCCAATCGGAATGCTGGTGGTGAAGACTCCTATACTCCCCCAGTGTATTAAGACTATGGCACGGCATCTTGAATGGAAAGCGTCGGTTTATCATCATGGCACGATCCGTTGTTGTCGATTGGCTCTTTTCCATCGTGGCGAATGTCAACCTGTGGTACCTGCAACTTTTTACTCCCTCCGAGGTTACACTTAACCTCAAGAAGAAGTCCCTCATGACTTAATATCTCCCACGATTTCTCAGATTCTTCAGAATTTGAGAATCGAGGCGCTGACATACTGAAAATGATGGATAAGTCTTGTCTTATTAGACAAACTATCCTCAATCATAACATGACTGGCCTGAATACTCTCATGACTGAATTATCTTTATCTGAACTCTGAAAACTATCCCGAGACAACTAAATAGTTGCTTCGAGATTGAAAACATGATATTTACTGACTTACTTGACTTGATAAGGTACGACTTCAAGTTCCCAGGTAAATCTGGACTAATGGTCTGTATATCAGACCGCCACGTTTTACCCGGATGAACAACTATTATACGTCGACCTTACATCATGAACATGAACTGAAAATCGTGAAAATGAACTCTGTACTATATAGGGCTGCTCCAGTATCAACCGGTCCCGCAAGTACAAAGTAATTGGCTGATCTTGATCTCTAAAAATCATAACTTGAAATATCATGACTGATAAAATATCTGACATGACTGACTTGAAAGGTTGTTATTACCTGAAATCTTACTGATTCGGTCCCAGCTTCAAGCCTCCATGGTATACCCGGCTGAGAAGCCTCCATGGTAACCCGGACTATTGACTCTTATACACTGGAAACCGTTACCTTAATAATGACTTGAAAACTATAACAACCTTTAACATGAACACTCTTGCTTTGAACATGACTTGCTGATCTGACTTAGGAACTTTGAGTCTATTCCTCAAATTAAATCAAGGAATTTCTCCCTGAAGTCTGCCAATTGATGGACAAAATGGCAGTTCTCGATAAAATTTCTGGGAAACATGATTCTTAAGGTAATGCTTACAAATCTTCTGACAAGTTACTAACTTGACTTGAATAAGTCTAGAATTGAATCTAGAGTTCTTAAACTCAATCCTTTTCTATGGTTTTGAATTCACTTGCCCTTGATACGGGGATTTCTTCGGCCGAAGAATTTCTCAACATGATAGTCGCGGAACTGTGCGACTACTGTGGCTTGAATAAAAACTGAGTGATCGAGATCCCTACGGGGCAGTATCTGAACATCGAGAAAAGTTTTAACATTACTGAGTATGCATGATAACCTTACTGACTGATTACTAAGGCACACAAATCTCTTGACGAGTAGCTAAAAGTAGCCGATAACTACTGACGTGAATCCTGAAGAACTCTAGAGTTATATAGGAAGATCCTAACGTCTAGAGTCATATTTGAATGCCTGAATTCTAGAGTCATGTCCGAACTCTAAGGTCTGAATCTGAGTTGAGCATCTTAACTAAGGTCCTGATCCTCAATTCTGAGCATAGACAAAGTAATATGTTTATAACTGAAAACTGAATTGCACCAGCACTTACCTGTCGTCGGCGGGGCGTGAGCATGACGGTTCGGGTTTTTCTAAAAAATACTGACTGAAAAACTTATCAGAGACGCAGAAACGTGCTCTGATACCAATTGTAACACCCCACCTTACTAGATAAATCAGAGTTGCGCAATTATTCGCAAAGTCTTTGAAAACTAAAACATTTTTACTTTGCGAAACTGATTTGGGGTGCTACAGTGAAAAATCCTTACTTAACTTAGAAAAACCGTTGTTTTAATTTAGTAAAAACGTCCGGTTACTGAAAACTTTATTTTCTGAAAAGTTCGTCAAAATATGATAAGTTCGTCAAAATATATCAAAACATCATCATAAGTCATCAAAAGACAAGCGGAAGCGTAAGTCATATTTATACAGTCCAAAACATATATAAATGTCCTGAGAGTCCCGTCATGCCCCGTCACATCACGCTCCCGGCCCGACTTCCTGCCCTGAAAAACATGATAAAACTGGGGAGTGAGCACTAAGGCACTGTGCTCCGTGGAAA